AGGCAGTGATGACACATGCCTTTAATCCCAGCACTCAGGGAGGCAGAGGCAGGTGAATCTCTGTGAGCTCAAGGCCAGCCTGGTCTACAGAGTGACTTCTAGGACAACCAGAGCTACACAGAGAAACCCTGTCTTGAAAAACCAAAAATAAATAAATAAAATAAATTTAAAAAGTAAGTAAATGTTTTCCAAAATCTTCAAAAGTAAGTCTTTAAACAAACAAACAAACAAACAAAAAACTTTCAGGGCTGGAGAGATGGCTCTTCTTTCAAAGGTCCTGAGTTCTATTCCCAGCAACCACATGGTGGCTTACAACCATGTGGGTTCTGATGCCTTCTTGCACTTGGAAGGCTGAGACAAAAAGACCAAGAGTCCCAGAGCAGTCTCAGCTGTTGAGCAAGATTCTGTCTCAAAAAACAAGAGCCAGCAACGAAGGGGAACAAATGAGAATGAAGTCTAAGTGTGTGTGTGTGCGCATGCACGCACGCACGCACGTGTGCAAATGCTATGATGAAAATCCCATTATTTTATGGAAAAAAAGGAAGGAAGGACGGACAAATGGAAAGAAAGGAATTAAAGAAAGAGAAAGAGAGCCGGGCGATGGTGGCGCACGCCTTTAATCCCAGCACTCGGGAGGCAGAGGCAGGCGGATCTCTGTGAGTTCGAGACCAGCCTGGTCTACAAGAGCTAGTTCCAGGACAGGCTCCAAAGCCACAGAGAAACCCTGTCTCGAAAAACCAAAAAAAAAAAAAAAGAAAGAGAAAGAGAGAAAGAAGGAAAGAAGAAGGGAGGGGATAAGGTGGCTCAGCAGAAGTCACCAAGCACAACCACCGGAGTCTGATCCTGGGACCCATCTGCCAGAAGGAGAAGACTACCCAAAGTTTCCTCTGACTGCCACATGTGTCCACTGCACGGCTGAGGCCCCCAACACACCAATGCATAAATAAATAAAACTTAAATCAACAATTTTTAAAGGGTTAAAGAAATGACTGAGTGCTAAGGAACGCATACCAGTCTTACAAAGGGCTTAGCACCCACATCAGGTGACCATCACTGTATCTCCAGTCCTGGAATCCATGGGTAATGCACTTAAATGTGCAAGTCTGTCATTTAAAGGTAGTGCACGCCTTTAATCCCACCACTCTGAGGCAGAGGCAAGTGGATCTCTGAGTTTGAGACTGGTCTGGTTTACATAGTATCAAGTTACATAGTGAGATCTTACATAAATTAAATTAAGCAAATAAAAAGATAGCCAAGCTGGGCATCATAGTAGACTCCTATAATCCCAACACTTGGGAAGTAGAAGCAGGGGGACCAAAAGTTCAAGGTCAACCTGGGCTACAATGGGACTTCAAGGATAGCCTGGGCTACTTAAGACCATTTTAAAAACAATCACACTGGGGGCTGGAGAGATGGCTCAGTGGTTAAGAGCACTGCCTGCTCTTCCAAAGGTCCTGAGTTCAATTCCCGGCAACCACATGGTGGCTCACAACCATCTGTATTGAGGTCTGGTGCCCTCTTCTCGCCTGCAGACATACACACAGACAGAATATTGTATATATAATAAATAATTAAAAAAAAACACTAAGCCGGGCGGTGGTGGCGCACGCCTTTAATCCCAGCACTCGGGAGGCAGAGGCAGGCGGATCTCTGTGAGTTCGAGACCAGCCTGGTCTACAAGAGCTAGTGCCAGGACAGGCTCCAAAGCCACAGAGAAACCCTGTCTCAAAAAACCAAAAAAAAAAAAAAAAAAACACTAACACAAAATGCAAAGCTCAGGCCAAGTGTGATGGCACACGGAGGATCTCTCTCTCACACTCTCTCCTCTCTCTCTCTCACACTCTCTCCTCTCTCTCTCACACTCTCTCCTCTCTCTCTCTCTCTCTCTCTCTCTCTCACACCCACACACCAAAAAGTAACCAGTGAGAACTGGTTCCAAATTGCTTTATGAATTAAAACAACTTTCCCCAGATGCCATGGGACTTTTGTTTATTTGTTTTTTTTCTAGGGGTTTATGAGGAGGGGTGAGTTCATAGAACCCAGTTTCCTCAGATCTCACTGTGTAACCCAGGCTACACATAAGCTAACAATTCTTTTGCCTCAACCTACCAAGGGCTGAGATTGCAGGCATTCAGCCTGGTCAAATGTTTTCAAAAGGAAAATTTTAGTGTAGCTAGCATCAAATTGAAACTCATCCCAAATTCAAATTGAAAATATTCATTTATCCCAGCGTCTACAGCAAATTAGGTGATTTTCAGGGTTTGTTAAAGGCCAGAAAATATTGCTCAGAGAAATTTTAGGTTTTGTTCTATATATATTTTTTTTAATTAATTAATTTATTTATTTATTTATTAAAGATTTCTGCCTCCTCCCCGCCACCGCCTCCCATTTTCCCTCCCCCTCCCCCATCAGCCGGAAGAGCAATCAGGGTTCCCTGACCTGTGGGAAGTCCAAGGACCACCCACCTCCATCCAGGTCTAGTAAGGTGAGCATCCAAACTGCCTAGGCTCCCCCAAAGCCAGTACGTGCAGTAACACAGAACAAGTGGAAAAAATTGACTTTATGAAAGCAAAAGAGTCCCTTGTTCTATATTTTTGTGGTTATTTTTTGAGGGTTTTTTTCCCCCCAAAGCTGGCCTGAAGTGGTGAACCTTCAGCCTCCTCCTCCCAAGTGCTGGAACTAGAGGCATGTGGCTACCACACCCAGCTAAGTTATTTTAAAGGACGCCGGCCATCTGTCTAGGTTTCTACAGGGGCAGAGAAATGCACAGTAGGCGGCCAGGTGACTTGGAGCCTCTAATGGGAACAGCGATCCAAAGCTGCCGTGGCCTGTCAGCGCGGCTGGGTGAGTCCAGCTGGCGCAGGAAGCACCAAAAATAAGCTACAAAGCATTCTGGAGCCGTGCTTATGGTTTGGATTCCAAACACACTTTGTGTTTATCCCTCACCAAGGAGGGGTATTTTTACGTATCTGTGTGTAAAGCGAGACTAAAGGAGAACACTGGAGGCAAAGGAATGTAAGTTGTGGGCCTGAAGCTTAAAAACAGAGATTTAAAGTAAAACACTAGGAACGCCTCTGTCTTGCAAAAGAAGGCAAACCGCCATTCAGAGGCAATAAAGCCGCGCACCCAGGTACCCCCCACACTCCCGAGCTTCACCTGGGGGCCGGTGGACAGTAGCTCGGCTCGCCCGAGGGAAACTGAGAGGGGCGGGGAGAGAGGGACACACACACCTCGCCGGGCGAGGCTGGCGGCCACCTCACTCGTCCAGCTGAGGGACCCGACCCAGGGGACCGAAGGGAGACTCACTTCTCCGGCTCTCCAGCCCATGGGCGACGGGTTTGGTCCCCAGCTCCCCCGCGTCCACCTCTGTGATCCCTCCACAGATCCACGATCGGTGGATCGTCCGGGCTCCCCAGATCCCACACCTTCGTCCTTCCCGGACCCCACGCTGCATTCCTTTCGGTCATAGATCGGAACCCGTTACCTGCAGAGCGGCTCGACAATCCTGCAGGTAGTCCTCCATGGTGAAGCCCGAGGTGTGCCGTCCCCCCTCGGCTTGGAGAGGTAACCCGGCCGAATGCACCCCGCCCCAGACTCAGGGTCTAGAGCCGAGAGTCAGGGGGCGGGACTCGAACCCGCCACACAAGGGTTCGGCCTCCGAACCCCAGGAGGAAGTGCGTAATCCGGCACTCCGGCGTTGCCCCGCCCCCAGAGGCGGAGGCTGAGTTCTGAGCCCAGAGACTCATGGGAGGTCAAGGAGGAGCATGTCGCAGTTCCTCCTGGGAAATGTAGTCCGGAAGCACCTAAGTTTTCCCCCAAGCGAGCAGTTACCTGAGCGCTATGACATACAAGTTGTGTATGTGTCACAATAACTCGCCTTTATGGCATCTAAACTTGCTCTTCCAGATAGGACTAGGTATAGTATCTTTCCATATATTACATCGAGCATCTGTTTGAGATTAATGTAAATTGATCTCTCAAGCCGGGCGGTGGTGGCGCACGCCTTTAATCCCAGCACTTGGGAGGTAGAGGCAGGCGGATCTCTGTGAGTTCGAGGCCAGCCTGGTCTACAAGAGCTAGTTCCAGGACAGGCTCCAAAACCATAGTGAAACCCTGTCTCGAAAAACTAAAAAAATTTTTTAAATATAAAGTCTTGCTATGTAGCCCAAGTTAGTCTTTGGTGAACGCTGGATTCACAAACCTGGCTTGGGCGGGACTTTAAATTACAACATATGTCTATATCTTATTAAAAGAGCTTCCCATACTAGGTGTTTTATTTTAATTCTTCCCTTTACCAAACTGACCTAGTGTGACCAGTGATGTGTTTGTTCATGCTAGGGAAACATTAGCATAATTTTGGACCTGTCGTCTTAAAATCTACAGTCGCGCCAACTCTTCATAACGTCCTAACTCTGCAGCCTCTTTCCCCTTACAGTCTGGACAAATATCTCCTGTCATTCTTGGACTGATGCAACCGTGACTTTGCTTTCTGGGTCCCTGTTGCAACTGTTCTCTCTTTCAGAGTTGCTTGAAGTCTTATTCCGGCAGCCACGTCAATAGAGGAGCCTTCAGAATGTAAGGCTAGGTTCTAGCCTCCCCCTTAACTGCCACTTTTGTGCCCCAGCGCAGACTGGGGGGGTCCCTTTGTCATAACTTGTCCCCTCATTTTTAAATCTATCTTCAGATGTACCTGCTCCTCAGGGAGGTGAGAGGAGACGAGGGTGCGTCTTCTTCACCCTAGATGTGTTAACCAGGTACACAGCTCAAGCAGTTTCATTTCTAGCCTTTTAGGAAACTTACAGGGAGGAAGGGAAGACTTGGAAAGGAGCCCTTTGGGGGGTCCCGCAAAACAGAAGCGGGGTCTTTTCTTTCACACTAAAGGAGTAAACGTGCAAACACGATGCTCTTTCGCCCGGCTTCCGTGGCTCCAGGGCAGAGGACGGCCGCCGGCATCCAGGGAGGGCCCAGCAACTGCCGCCGTCCCGCCCCGCTCCTCCCCGCTCAGCCAGGCTGCTCGCTTGCTTTTCCCGGTTCTCACCAGAGAGGCACACGCGCTCCGTCCCTTCCCGCGGCCGCGGAGGGAAGAGAAAGGGTCTGTTGTTTTTCTCTCTTCCTTTCCGCCGCTCACCGGCTGGCTGCACACCGGCTCCGACAGCCCTGATGGGAATCCCACGCGCCTGAGCAGGCCCCTCCTCCAGGGACCTCGTCCTCAGCTAATTTGTCTTTGTCCCGACCGAGGGAAAGAAGAAGAAAAAAACCCACAAACTTCCTTTGCAAACCAGTTTGCGGCCAGGGCCTGGAGCGCACGCCGGAGACTCAATCGCTCGGGAACCCTGAAGACGCCGGAGGCCCCGGGAGCGCCGGGCTGCCCCCCACCGGTCCCCACCCAGCCCGTCCCCAGCCTGCCCTCGCCCCCCACCCTCCTCCGGCGTGCCCGGGACTGGCTGGCCGTGAGTCTGGAAGTGGCCACGACCCAGGCTGGACGTCGCGCGAGGAAAGCCGTGTCGAGCCGTGGGAGCTCCGGGGCTGACAGCTGGGAGGCAGCTGGCGCTGGCGGCGCCCCTCGACGATGTCCCCTCCTCCCGTGTCGGGCCGCCAGAATTGAGTCCTCTCCCACTCCCGGAAACGCATCCACCCCTCTAAGGTAAAAACTTTGTTTTCAAACTGTCTTCTTCGCCTCTTCTCGCAGCTCTCCTTTCCCACTCCGGCTGGGGGGAGTTGACACCTGATGTCCCGTCTGTGGTCTCTACACCTGGGTCGCTAATGGGATCCTTGCTAGGCACGGGGAGCAGTGAAAGCGATGGGGGTCCCTTCGTTTCCCCATTATAAACAAACCTTCTCCCCCTCTTTGGGAGCAAGAATTGCAATGTTTGATTTATTCTAGAGGAATCCCAAAGCATTGTGGCCGTGAAGGTTTGCCTTCAGTTGAGGAAGAGATTGGGTAAGACTAGAAAAGGAGAGAGAAGGGTCCTGAGAGAGGGTAATGTCTTCTTGAAGCTAAAGACTACCCATTTAATATGCTTCTTCCACTGTGTAATATTATCTGCTGCTGACTAGGAAGGGATCGGGTGTTTTAACTCCCTCACCTGCCCCCATAGGTAGGTCTAGTTAGAGAGAAGGTGTAGGATTTGGGCAGAAGAAAAGGCTGAAACCCCAGTTTGTCTGAGTACCCGCCCCTCGGACTTTCCTGCCTCTGGGCTTTGCAAAGTGCGGTTCCTGCCCTTGCCGGCTGTCGCTGAGACCCCACTCCCTCCAGTGGTTTCTTGTAGCTCCTCTCTTTGGTCGGCTAGCTTTCCCATCCTCCACTTAACTATTGATCGTTTCTAACCTTGGGCAGAAAATGAGCCACGCTTTTCCTTTGGCTTTTTAAATTTCCCAGGCGTGGCCTCTGTTTCAGGGTTCACCCTAAGTGCCATGGGAGGGGAAGAGATATGGAGAGAGAGGGCGAAAAAAAGTGTAAGGCCAGCATATTAATTTTGCTAGTGTGGTTCTAAATTAACAAAATATAAATCACCCACAGCTAGCACAAATTATATTTGAATAAGGAGAATGATCTCTTGAGTTATTTTCAGTAACTTTGACATTTCTCTGTAGCTCAGGCAGACCTTGAACTAGAGATCCTCCTGGCCTGATCCCCTGCTATTCAGCAGTGATTGGCAAACCTGAGACACCACAACAAGCTAATGCCATTCCTGTGCGCTAGGCCTTCTCCCAGCCCCCAAGTCCTGAAGGTTTAGAAGAAGAGAACAGGCGATGAAGAAGCTGAACGGAGGGCAAGAGTTCCAGTCAGGCATGTCATAAACCACTTAAAATCCCTTCACTTGGGAAACTGAGGCAAGATTACCAAAAGCTTGAGGTTAGCCTGGGCAAACCAGTGCTCTGCTTGTCTCTGCCCCTCCCCCCCAAATCCTGGGATTCAAGGTGAGTGCAATTTCTTTTAAAATCATTTAAAAGAAAAAAAAGGCAAGATTTAATTTAATTAATTTGATTTAAATTAATTAATCCCTGCTTTTGTCTTCCTTTCCTTCGATGCTGGCGAGGGAACTCAGCACCATGCATGTGTTAAGCGCGTGACCACTCGCCACATTTTTTGTTCTCACTACTGAGTAGGGAGGGGCATAAGGAGATAAAGGGAGACTCGGGGAGGAAGGGATTGTGACTGTCACTATCTGTAGTCCTATCTGTCTGTTACTTGATGTCTAACGCTGATAGACAGCAAGGTGAACAAGTCCAGTGTTCACCTGGGAAACCATCTCAATGGGAGCCATGAAGAGAATGCTTGCCAGTGGATGTGAGCCTGCAGCTGGGGTGTTGTTTGCCAGGCAAGGCTCCATCGCTGAGCTATACCCCCAGCTCTTAATTTTTAAGATAGGATCTCACAAAGATCCTCCTACCTCAGCCCCCTTTAGTAATTAAAATTAAAGGCTTTTGTTACTACACACAAGTAGTGGGGGGATCATATATATATAATGTTGTATGTGAGCATTTTTTAATTTTTAAAATATTTATTTATTTATTTATTTAGCCTGCATGCCCGCACACACACCAGAAGAGGGCACCAGATCTCACTATAGATGGTTGTGAGCCACCATGTGGTTGCTGGGAACTGAACTCAGGACCTCTGGAAGAGCAGCCAGGGCTCTTAACCTCTCTCCATCTCTCCAGCCCAGAGCATTTTTTATATATATGCGTGCTTTCTGTAGGAGTACTTTCTCATTGGGACCACCAGCCCACTAATCATGACATGGAGACTTCTTATTAATTACGAAAGCTCGGCCTTAGTGGAGGCAATAGTCTACCTAGTTCTTATAACTTAAAGTAACCCATAGTTTTTAATCTGCATTCTCCCATGAGGCTCGTCACTGCTGCTTCTGCATCTGGCTGGTGACTCTGCCTTTCTTCTTCCCAGAGTCCTTTCTCGGCCTGGAAGTCCGCCTATACTCTCCTGTCGAGCTATTGGCCATTCAGCTCTTTATTACACCAATCACAACAGTACATTTTCACACAGTTATAAATATTCCACAACAGTTTTCCTTTATGTCTGTCCATCACATTTTTTATGTATACAATATTCTCAGTATTCTGTCTGCATGTATGCCTGCAGGCCAGAAGAGGGCACCAGACCCCATTATAGATGGTTGTGAGCCACCATGTGGTTGCTGGGAATTGAACTCAGGACCTCTGGAAGAGCAGGCAATGCTCTTAATCACTGAGCCACCTCTCCAGCCCCCAGCACATGTTCTTAATGTGCCATAGAAGCCAGAAGAGGATATCAGATTCCCTGCTACTTAGGTTCCAGATCCTTGTAAACCCCTCTGTGGGTGCTGAGAATTGAACCTTGGTCCTCTAGAAGAGTGGTCTATGCTTTTAACCACTGATCCACCTCTCCACCCCTGGAGTATTTTAAATGTAAATCATTAACAGAAGTTTCCTATTCCATGTAAACAGTGAGCAAGAGACTATCTCTGGGTGCCGGCTCTGCTGGAAACAAACAGAAACTGAGGAGTTGTGATGTCAGCTCCAGACAGGGAGAGCAATCTATCGGAGGGGCTTGTGGGGAGCACTTTCTGTGCCCCCATCCTTGGTTGTTATTGATCATACCTTAGTGGTATGATCAGAGCCTGTGCCTTGGGCAGCCCTAATAAGTCAGGTTTGGCCTCTTGTTCCCAATAAGCGAATTCAAAGAACTGAACTAATAGTGAAAAGTAGGGGCAGTGAGATGGCTCAGTGGTTAAGGCTCTTGCTGCTGGATGACCTGAGTTTGACCCCAGTTCCCACAGGGAGAGAACGAATTTCTGAAAGTGTTCTTCCGGTTTCCACATTGACACACACATACACATACACACACTAAATAAATGTAATAAGATTAAAATAATCATAGGGGAAAGCAGGAAAAAAACAACAACAAGAGATTTTATTCAATGTGGCCACTTTAGGTCTAGGAACAGAGTGATTGGTGACATTGCTGAGTCCATCTTCAGAGTCCTAAATAAGTAGAAAGCCAGATACCAGTGCACAGCTCACCGGTGCACAGCTCACCAGCTGGGTAGGGCAAGGTGCGGTCCTGCCCATTACTGACCCATCGCTGTTTGGGTCCTAGCCTCACCTTGGAAGGTTATTGGACAAGTTGTTAGAACTCTGTGAAATCTTTTTCCTGGATATAGGTTCCTGTTTGGCTGCTTCAAGGCTCGGTGTTTTTCTCCTCCCTGCTTGAGATTCCGGGGGAAATTTCAATTCCTTGGGTCCATTGTTTCAGTGGTGTGACAGGCAATGCGATGGAGGATGACATGAAGTGGCTCTTTAGAACAGTGGTTCTCAACCTGTGGGTCACAGCCCCTTGGGGAGGGGTCACCTAAGACCACAGAAGACCACAGATACTACATTACCCTTCATTAACAGCAGAATTACAGTTATGAAGTAGCATCGAAAATAATGCTACTTATTAAACGTTATTGTTGTGGGGTCACCACAACGTGGGGTCGCAGCATTCGGAAGATCGAGAACCACTGCTGTAGAATATTCTCAGTCTTTGCAGGGATGCCCAGGTTACAGAATTGCTTAGCCAACGCCGACAAGCCCCATGACCTACATTTCCCTTCCCTACAGGAAGCCCCTCCCGAGCCTTTTTGCTGCGGTTGGTTTGGGATTGTGTAAGGTTCCACCAAGTCTTCTGAGAGCCGGGCATGATGGCACAGGCCTCTAACATCAGCACCTGGGTGGTTGACATAGGAGCCTCACTGAAAATTCTAGGCCATAGCCTGGCATGGTGGTACACACCTAATCCCGGCACTCAGGAGACAGGCGGGTGGCTCTGAGTTTGGGCCCAGCCTGGTCTACTCACAGAGTTCTAGGACAGCCAAGGCTACGTAGTAAAACCTTGTCTCCAAAACAAACAAACAAATGAATAAATAAATAGAGTCATTTGAGGAGCCGGATTTCCTTACCTTACCGGCTTGGCACAAAATATACGAAGATGGTGTTACCTTTTTACCCCTCACCCCAACCACATGATGGTTGCTCTCTGGTCCCTGGAGTAAACCTGGAGAAGGTGTCTGTAAGGACATGAGCAGCCTATGTGCTCAGAATGTTGGGAAGGGGCGAGGTTTGGTGTCTGGAACTGATGTGGTGTCTTTAACAAGCAGGCTAAATAAACATCACCCCTGTTAGTAGCACAAGGATTGTTGTTTGTTTGTTTTTTGTTTGAGAAACAACAAACCCAGGGGTCAAACCCAGGGTCTCGCATGTGCTTGGGAAACATAGCCCACTTTAGGATAGTTTTAGCATTTTTTTTATCCAGCCCTCTTCTTCGGTCTTTTGGCTTTGCACTTACCTTTCCCTTCTCTCTTTTTCTGGAAAAAAAAAAAAAGTTTAATTCTGTTTTGTGTGGGTGTTTTTCCTGTGTATCTGTACCGGAGAGGGTAGTGGGTCTCCCGGAAGTGGAGTTGCAGAGGGCTGTGAGGTGTCCTGGGGTGCTGGAAATTTAACCAGGTCCCCTTGAAGGGCAGCCAGTCCCTGAGGCATCTCCTCAGACCCTCTCTCTTTTCTTCATTCTCTGTCATTTTCTGTTTCAGGAAAGCAAGTTCCACCTGGTATCTTCCTTCCCTTCTGAGCCTGGAGGCCCAATCTTGGCAGACGCATCTGGTCACAGCAGGTTAAAGGTTGCACAAGCCAAGGCCTTCAGTTTACGCCCACTGAGAAAAGCTGACTTGGGAGCCAAACTGGCTTTCCACACTTCACTTCCAGACTTCTCTTGTTCCCTTTGCTCTGTAACTCAATGACCTTATTGGCCTGGTCTCTCTTGTGCCTATCAGAGTCATTTAAGCAAGGTCCCTGAGGTCAAGAAACCCCTTTGTCCCTCTCAACCGACTCCAACCCCACTATGGAACAACCTCAGGTGGAGCCCCCAGCCCCCAGTAAAGCCAATAGTGCAGAAACTGTTGAATCTGAAAACCACGAGGCTCCTCTGTCTGGACCAGAGGAGCACGCTCCAGACAGCCCTCAGGACAAGGGTGGCGCAGAGGCCGATGGAGCAGGTGGAGAACAGGAATCGAAAGACCAAGTTTTGCCACCAGCCCAGAATGGGGAAAATCTCGAGTGCCCTCCTCCTGAAGCTAGCTCAAGTCCATGTGGGACATCGTCTGAGGTGGAGACAATAGAGACACCTTCTAGGCCACAGGAACTTCCCCAGTCCCCCAGGACCCAGCAGCCTGATCTCGATTTCTACTGTGTCAAGTGGATCCCCTGGAAGGGAGAGCGGACCCCCATCATCACCCAGAGCACCAATGGCCCTTGTCCTCTCCTGGCCATCATGAATATCCTCTTTCTCCAGTGGAAGGTAAGTGCGGAGAACACAGCCTGTGAACTGCGGGGCACTGGGCAATTATGATAGCCTCAGATGCTGGGTGGTGGTGGCAGAGGCAGGAGGGTCTCTATGAGTTTGAGGTCAGCTTAATCTACAGAGTGAGCTTCAAGACAGTCAGGGCTGGGGGCTGGAGAGATGGCTCAGTGGTTAAGAGCATTGCCTGCTCTTCCAAAGGTCCTGAGTTCAATTCCCATCAACCACATGGTGACTCACAACCATCTGTAAAGAGGTCTGGCGCCCTCTTCTGGCCTTCACGCATACAGACAGAATATTGTATACATAATAAATAAATAAATATTAAAAAAAAAAAAGACAGTCAGGGCTGTTACATTAGAGAAACCCTGTCTTGAAAAACCGGGGGGAGGGGGGCAAAGATGGCCATAGATTTCTCTTTCAAATGTGCTTGGTTCGTTCACACAAACGTTCCTTACAATACCATGCTGTGTAAAGGTTACTACAGTCATCTTACCTAGTGGGGAATGGTTGGCTGGGCAGATAACGCTGCAGGGTTCCCCTGCGGACTTCTTTCCAGTAACAACATTTTGGAAGCTCTTGTTCAGGCTTGCACGTCTGTGGCCGGCCAGGAGGGTGGCTTTGTTGGCGGTCCCAGAACGTCCTTGAGCGCACAGGCCAGCAAGCCCAGGCCAGCAGCTAACACTGACAGATGGGCCTTGGTGCTGGAAACTTGAGGGTCTCTGAAGCCACAGTCACATGAGGGCCTGTCTCTAAGTCCCCTTGTTGATGGGTATCAACATAGAACCCTGAGATACCATGTCTCGGGAGGAGTGTGATCCTGGGGGCCACCTCTGAAGTGCCAGTTTTTTTTGCTTTATTCCAGTGGGCATTAGCTTTGCACTGTTGGGGCTCTCAGCTTCGGGCAGCTTCGCTGAGAAGTCAGGGCTGCCTTGGGGTGGCTCACCAGCGTGTCAGAGCCTGCCTTCTTCCCGGCCTTTACCTCGCAAGCATGTGTGAGTCTCAGTCACACAGAAGAGCTTCACTGAAGTTCCTAACAGGAGATGAGTCCTCATGTGGGGGGTGGGCTAAGAAAATCCTGGGAGTCTGCTTCTCTGGCCCTCTTCCCCATCCTGATTTTTCTCAAGCCAGTCCTAAATCTCCAATCCGATCCTGCCAGCTCCTGTCCCCATGACTGCAGTTTACCTCAGGCTGGGCGGGCCTGGCAGCACCTCCCATTTCTTCCCTCTCCTGGCTTCGAGCCCCCCACTGTGGGTCCTACCTCTGAATCTCTCTCCCGTATCTCTCTTTTTTGACTCCTTTTGTTTGTTTGTTTGCCTTTTGTTTTGCTTTTTGAGGCAGGGTCTCACTGTGTAGCCTTGACAGACTTGAAATTAACTGTGTAGACCAAGCAGGCTTTAAACTCAGAGATCCACCTGCGCCGGGCTCCCCAGTGCTGGGGTTAGAGGCATGCACCATCACCACCAGCTGCTCTTGGGGGATTGTAAACCGGACTGGCCTCGCTCCTCCTGCCTCAGCTTCTTGGATACTGGGATTGCAGTCATGAGCCGCCATGCCTAGGTTGACCCCTCTCTTGCCATGTGTTCCTTCTCCACTGCTGATAGTAAACACTCACACACACACACACACCCCTTCTCCCTCCAGGTGAAGCTGCCCCCTCAGAAGGAAGTGATCACATCAGATGAGCTCATGACGCATCTCGGTGAGTGGCTCATGGGGCAGGGGCTCATTTGGAGCTCTGGTGTGGCACCGAGGGCAAGGAGAGTCCGTGTCTTTTCTGTAAAGCTGGAGAGTAAAAGATCAAGGTATCAGAACTTTTGAGTTCTAGCACCAGTTCTGCCTGTAGTTTCTCCCCTCCCACCCCACTCCTGGTGCTGTGGATCAACCACTAGCCTTGACAGCACTGGGCGAGGACTGTACCACTGATGTGCAGCCCTGGCTGCTGTCCTTGGCTTTCAGTCAGGTAGGTCTTTCACCTCTATAAACCTATTTATTCCTCTGAGAAATTAAAATTCTAGCTTAGAGTTTGAAAATCCATGGTCCTGAGGCATTACCCCATTCTCCAGAAGGGGAGGAAGCCAGCTTTTGGGACAACCGGCAGGGTAGGGTAGGCTGATAAGTTTCCTGTCTTACAGGAAACTGCCTCCTATCCATCAAGCCCCAGGAGAAGTCCGAGGGCCTTCAACTTAACTTTCAGCAGGTGAGGCAAGAGGGGCAGTGGACATGGGGGCTGCAGGCTTGCGGGGGACCCTGGACCTACTGAAAAGCCTTTGGGGTGATTCCCTAACCTTGGTATCTTCTGGGGGGGGGGATTGGCATCTCTATCATGAAAAAAAAAGTTCATTTTTATATTAAATAAAGAGAGAATGGGGCAGCCCAGCATAGTATTATATGCCTTTAATTCCAGCTTGGGAGGCAGAGGTTGGCAGATCTCTGAGTTTGAGGCCAGTCTGGTCTACACAGTGAGTTCCAGGACAGCCAGAGCTATATAGTGAGACCTTGTCTTGGGGTTGAAAGGAGGGGATTAAAATAAACGGGTTGTAAGAAAGCCCGAGGCGAACAACAGGACTTCTGACTTGTTTCTGGGTGATGGGCGTGAGAGGTGGAGGGTGCTGGACTAGCCTTCCTTGTCTTTTCCCCCCAGAACGTGGAGGACGCAATGACTGTGCTTCCTAAACTGGCCACAGGGCTGGATGTCAATGTGCGGTTCACAGGTGTCTCTGACTTTGAGTACACGCCCGAATGCAGCATCTTTGACTTGCTGGGCATCCCTCTGTACCATGGCTGGCTTGTGGATCCACAGGTGAGGACTGAGGAGTGATAGGATTTGGAGCCTGAAGTGGTGCAGAATTCCTTGACTTTTAATACTGTTGGGTGGAGTCACATACCAATACCAGGAAACCACACACAAATAAGACCAGCTCCTCGGACATCAAGAGTTCAGGAGTCTTTGATCACAGTCACAGTCCTAGGGGCTTGGTCCGCTTCCTTCCTTTAAAAATAAAATCTCTTTGTTTCTGTCCCACCCTATCCGACTCCCCAGAGTCCTGAGGCTGTGAGCGCTGTTGGGAAACTGAGTTACAATCAGTTGGTGGAGAAGATAATCACCTGCAAGCACTCCAGCGACCCCAACCTCGTAACCGAAGGTGAGGGTGGTGCCCCTTTCCTTGTGATTGCGCGTGAAGGCAGCTGAGCAACTCCTGCTCTTCCTGCCTCAGCCTTCTGAGCGCTCAGATCACAGATGCGCCCTCGCAACCCCTAGCTGTCCTGATTGAGCAAATGCGGTCAGGCTTTAAGGAGGGGTTTTCATCTCAACTCTGAGGACAGGGCTTCTCTAGGATCTCTTCTAGCTTAGGCTGGCTTTGTAGCTGAGGGCGATTTTGAGCCTCTGATCCTGCCTCCAACCCCCCAAGTACCAGGACCACAAGCATGAATTACCAAGTTTCAACATGTATGTGTACGCCTTGCTGGGAATCAGACCTGGGGCGTTGCACATGCTAAGCATAGAGTCTAAATCTGAACCATACTAGGGTGGCTTTGCAAAGGGGCTTTGGAGGCTCCTGGGACTTTTTGGACAAACCTTGTTTTGTTTGCTTTGGGGCTTTACTGAGGCTTAGGGGTTTTCGTTTTGACACAGGGTCTCTCTGTGTAGCCTTTGGCTAACCTGGAACTGCTGCTGCGTGGGGCCTGTTGCCCTTGGACTCACAGAGACCAGCCTGCCTCTGCCTCCTGGGTCCTGAGGCTAAAGGCGTGTGCTGCCCCACCCAGGACTGAATTCAGGATCTTGCCCAAAGATCTAAAATTGAGTCAGACTCCCAGCCCTTTTGATTTGTTTTGCTTTTTTCCTGTGTGGGTTTGGATGTAATCCAAGGCTCATGCATATTCTGCCTTCTGGCAGGTTTGATCTCAGAGCAGTTCCTGGAGACCACCGCAGCGCAGCTGACCTACCACGGCCTGTGTGAGCTCACAGCAACTGCCAAGGAAGACGAACTCAGTGTCTTTTTTCGAAACAACCACTTTAGCACGATGACTAAGCACAAGGTGATGGGGTTTTGGAGGAGGGGAGCAGGAACAATGTCATTTCCCTGAGCCCTTTTCTCTGGGGTCAGTGTGTCAGGCAGGATAAAGTGGGCTAAGCCATGGTAACAGATAGCCCCTAAAATCCTTGTGGTTTGCCACAAGTGTTTGTTTCTAATTCCTGATACATGTCCAGTGCAAACTGGCTCTATCCTGTCTCACACCATCTTCACTCTGGGACTCAGGGTGACAAAAAAGCCTTTCTATATATTGGAATATATGCAGGAAAAAGAGAATGACACAGTGCGTTCATTCTTGAGGCTTCTACCTGAAAACGACACTGACCAGAGCAGTTATGAGGAATACGCCTGTCATTAAGGGCAGGAAAGGGACAGTGGGACTTTAGAACACACAACAGTCTTTCCAAGTTAGAAGCCGGAGCTCTCTAGGAATTGAGTAGAAGAGACTGGTCCTGCTAGTTCCTCTACTCCCCATCCAGCCCTGGCTGGGCCGGAACTCTGAGGTCTGCCTGCATCAGAGAGCTGGGATTAAAGGTGTGCGTTGTCACCCCTGGCCTTGCCTTGAACTGCTGATCCTCTCCAGCTCCCAGGGCTGGTTGTCATGCGACACCATGCTCAGTTTTTCTGGTTCTCAAAAGGGTTTATCTCTATAGACGTCAGTAAACAGAGAGCAAAGAGAGTAGGAAGCTGGAGTCGGTGTGGTACCCAGTACCCGAGCCCCAGTGATTCCTTAACCAGGATAATCACAGCACTCACCTGTATTCAAGCATCCTTTCCTGCTCCCACAGCCACACAGATTTAAGAACTATGGGACTCACAGTGCTAAGCTAAGCTCCAGTCGGCACACTGATTCTCTTGGCTGACTGTGAACTGTCTCTGTGTCTCCTGTCCCATCTGTATGCTGTCCTTTTCAGCTTGTGTAAGGGGTGTGTGCTGGGGACCAAATCCAGGGAATGAGCCGACGCACACTCCAGCCCTGGCTGTCTTTCTCTTTCGCAGAGCCACTTGTACCTTCTGGTCACTGACCAGGGGTTTCTCCAGGAGGAGCAGGTGGTGTGGGAGAGCCTGCATAACGTGGATGGTGACAGTTGCTTTTGTGACTCTGACTTCCACCTCAGCCATTCCCTAGGGAAGAGCCACGGAGCAGAAGGTGGGGGCGGCTCCCCAGAGAAGCAGCTGCAGGTGGACCAGGTGTGCGGGGCCCTCAGAACGGTGGTGTCCTTTAAGCGAACCTCATGCCTTCTATTGGCTGAAGGCTGCCCCACGCGGCCTCTTCATGTTACCCTTGGGTCATTGCCTTGCTTGGGTGTATTTCCTGCCACCACAGATAGTAGACATGCCTGCGTTCCACTAGAGAGGGAAGAACTGGGGAATTTGGAGGAAATATGAAATTTAGCCTGAATCTCTCTCTACCTTTGGTCTTAACCCATCTTGTGACTTGTTTTCTCTCTAGGACTATCTGATTGCCCTGTCCCTGCAGCAGCAGCAGCAGCCACAAGGCATGCTGGGCCTTAGTGACCTGGAACTGGCCCAACAACTTCAACAAGAGGAGTATCAACAGCAGCAAGCTGTCCAGCCTGTGCAAACAAGGGCGCCTTCGCCCCAGGTGAGCCTGCCCCTCTCTCGGTAGGCAGGGGCACTGGCTTTGCTTGATGCAGAATGCATATGGTTTTTGTACAGGTCTCTGCAAGCGTTCCCTCATAAACCCTTCTGAGGCACCCCTTTTTGATCTTGACCCTTTGATGTCTTTGACCTCCACACAGGGGAGAGGAGCCACTTCTGGACGCCCAGCTGGAGAGCGGAGGCAGAGGTCGAAGCCCGAGTCAGACTGTGTGCTGCTCTAACTCTGCCCCATACAGCGTGGACACGCCCCTTCTTTCAGAGGCTGACTGGTTTGCTTGCAGGACCCCCCACACACACCTCAAACCCTGAGGCTTACGGGGTGATTGATGTGCACTGCTGGGGGTCAGAGCAGGTGCCTCCAAGGTCAGACTTGGTACCATCCTTGCCCTCGGTGTCGCTGTCTTCTCTTCTTCCCAGACAGGGCCCTATGGGGATGGCTGGGTGGTCTCTGGTTCCCAGCTCCCTTTCCTGGGATATTCACATGCATATACAGACCCACGCTGATAGGTGCGGTACCTGAATCTGTGTCCGTGCTTGTCCCTGTCCAGCTGCTCCTGGCCACCCACAGGCCTGTCTCCGTTTGCTTCAGGGTTTGATTTGGGTTTCTATCTTTATTATTATTTTAATGCCTTCCTAGGGGGCTGGAATAAAATTTCTTTCCTGAGATATGTTGTTTTCTTACCCTGGAGCAGTGGGGTTAAATATTTGACCCACTTGAGGAATGTGAACTGGGGAGGAGGCAGAGAATCTAGAGGTTGCCTGCCTGTCATTTCGCACAGGCCAGCAGGGGGAGCCCGAACGTGACAACTTCCCTCTTCCCTGGTTTAGATCGCTGTTCTGTGGGAAGCGCTGTTCTCAGCTCTGGCTGGAGAGGGACAGATGGACTGGGGGAAAGTTACTGAGACTTCCAAGGCTGGTATTTTATGTCGATGACCCTTCGCTAGTTCTGATCCCCTGGTGTCCACTCTTGCTTATCTTGCCTGGGATTCCCGGGGAGAAGAGATGATGAAGTTGAAGGGAGACTCCTCAGGGTGGGGTGTGCTGATAACTGCTCAGTGCAGCGCTGGGGCAAAACCAGGATTCCTGTGGAATGGCTAAGTCCACTTCAAAGACGCCTCCAACTCCAAGGCCTCTTCCTGACCCATGTCCTGACCCACCCAAATTTTAACCAGGAAACTTAAAAAGACAGTGGATTTGGCAAAGGGTTCAACTAGCAGGGAGATGTTCTGGCCGTGGTATGGATTGATGCCTAGGGCAGACACTATCAAAGACATCCTATTCCTCCTCCCCAAAATGTGGCTAGAGATGAGGGAAATCCAAGGATATCAAAGAAATTTAGAGGACCAGCCTCAAGAGGAAGTTAGGGTATATGGTGTTCGTTGGGGGTCTCCCATGTGTTCAACCAAACATGGGAATCCCCAGATTCTTGAATGCTGGGTCAGGGTGGGTCCACAAGGTCTCAGATGTCTTCGGCTCTGCACAGGGCCAGGAGGGCCGAGTGACAATCCCCTCTCACTGTACCCTGCAGGTGAGGGACTCAGGGTCAGACAAACTCATTACCACCATCATTCTCTAAGCATTGTAACCCTCCCTACCTTGTGCCAAAAAAATAGCTCATTGTCTAGACAGGACTCAACAAAAGGAAAGGTGGGGGGAAGGGAGCTGGGACACTAGGGCTCCAGGTTAAGAAATAGCCAACTTCAGTTGAGGAGGCAGAGGGAGGTGGCTCTCTGAGTTCGAGGCCAGCCTGGTCTATAGGATGAGTTCTAGGACAGCCAGGGCTACACAGAGAAACCATGTCTTGAAGAGGAGAGAGCTAAGTTTTCACCTGGAGAGAAGAATATAGAGACTTCCCAAATTTCTTCTTGAACTCAGCCCGAATGCTCAGAAGATCGATCTCGCTCCGGGAGACAAGGACTCGGGTCAGCACCTGGAAATCAGGCTCAGTTTCCTGGAAAAGAGACAGATAGGGGAGCCTGCGGCAGGCGATTATGGGTGCTCTCATTAAGGGCAGGGGGTGAATGGCCTGGGTGGGGAGGGAGTGGAGGCAAGGTAGTACTGGGGGATCAGATCCAGGGCCTTGAACATGCTACTTACCACTAAGCTACATCCTCAGGCTTCTCCGGCTTTTTTTTTTTTTTTTTTTTTTTTTTGAGATAGGAATTCAGTGTGTGTCTTGGACTGGCCTCAAATTCACACAGAGTGCTGGGACTTAGGTATTAGCCGCCCTGCTCAGCCAAGATATATTTCTATGTTTTTTTTTTTTTTTTATTTAACTTTATTTTATGTGCATTGGTGTGAAGGTGTCAGATCCCCTGCAACGGGATCTTCAGACAGTTGTGAGCTGCCATGTGGGTGCTGGGAATTGAACCCGGGTCCTCTGGAAGAGCAGTCAGTGCTCGTAACCACTGAGCCATATCTCCAGCCCCCTATTTCTATGTTTTTGTATGTGTGTCTGTGTGAGTGTATGAGACATGTGTGCAGATGCCTGCGGAGGTAGAAGAGGGTCTTATATCCCCTGGAGCTGATGGGAACTGCTGGATGTGGGTGCCAGGAATCAAGTTTGGGTCCTCCGGAAGAGCAAGAAACTCTTAACCACTGAGCCATCTCTCCAGATCCATGTTTTTGAGACAGTGTCTTGTGTACCTTAGACTGACCATGGACTCACGGAGATCCATCCGCTTACCTCTGCCTCTACACTGTTTGGATTTAAGGTGTGGGCCACCACGCCTGACAAGCCTTGAACTCGTGATCCTCTTGTTTTTTCTTTTCAGGTTCTGGGATTACAAGTGTATGCCCTTTTGGCTAGTCTGATTCCTAAAATAATACCTTTTTATATCCAAGAATTCTGGTTTCCGAATCTCAATACACTAAGATGTGTGTTTCCTTTTATGTGTGTTCCTCATGGGCTCAGCAAGTCAGTGCTCCACCATGAGCCACTTGTAGCCCACAGATTTGTTGTTTTCATATCAGGAACTGAGACAGATAACCACAGGTCTTCAAAGGGATCCTGGTGTTGACTCATTATAATGAGCCGGCCTTCTCAGTTAGGTATATAATGATCTGTTGTCAAGATGGAAATCTCTGAATGACTGAGCAAGGGCGTATATAGACTGTCATATGAACAGTCATCAGTGCAGCATGATGCTGAGGCTTCTCTGTCCGCCGAAATGTGGTAACTCCAACCTTTCATATATTATACTTCCTTTTTTATTTTTATTGTTTTTCAAGACAGGGTTTCTTTGTGTCGTACTGGCCATTCTGGCACTTGATCTACAGGCCAGGCTGGCCTCAAACTCAGAGATCTGCCAGCCTCTGCCTCCCCAGTGGATTAAAGGCATGTGCCACCACTGCCCAGATATTTTTGTATATATTCTCAGAGACCTAGTTCATCTAGCAAAATTATTAGATTCTGTCAAATTCAAGTCAAAGTGACCACTTCTTAGATAAATAATACAGCAGACGCAATGTAGCCCAGGCTGTTCTGGAACTCTCTATATAGATGCAGTTGCCTCCTCTGTGCTGGGATTAAAGGCGTCACCACCATGCCTGCTCACCAGCGTCCACTAGAGCAAATTCAGCACGCATTCTACCACCAAGCTTTCCCTCAAACTTGAGGATAAATAGGAATAAAATCCAGACAAGGTGGTTGGGCATGGTGGGGCAATCCCAGCCACCATGGGGGAGGCAGAGGCAGGCGGATCTCTCAGTTAGGAGCCAGCCTGGTCTACATAATTTCAGGACAGCCAGGGCTACACAGAGAAACCTTGTCCGGAAAAACCAAATAAATGAATCTAGCCAACTGGAGAGAAAGGAGGCCCGGAGTGCTCGGGACATTTGCTCTTTGTTCTTCATAATCTTCATCTACTTGAACAAGGACAATGAGTAGTTGTGAATTGAAACATGAGTAAAGCGTCAGAGACAGCTCCAAAGTCCCGGATGCCCTGGCTGACCTGGGATTTACAGTGCTCCTGCTTCTGCCTCCTGAGCCCTGAGATTTAGGGTTTTCACCACCATGCCCGGCAGTTATTCTTTATAGAGAGCAATGGTTCTCAACCTGTGGGTTGTGACCCCTGTGGAGGTCTGAGGACCCTTTCACAGGGTGTCGATTATCAGATATCCTGCATATCAGATATTTACATTATGATTCATAAAAGTAGCAAAATTACACTTGTGAAGTAACAATGAAATAATTTTATGGTTGGGGTCAGCACAGCATGAGGGTTGCAACATTAGGGAAGGTGAGAACCACTGGGACAGTTAACACCTTCCCCTCTGACAACAAAACAGGCTCATCTGGTTTTGGTACATAGACATTAAGATAGACTTAAACTTTAGTGCCTTGTGGGTAACTCATGTAGTGCTAACCAGAACTCACTCCCCTGCCCGCGACAAGGCAGTCTGTAAACTCAGGGAACACAGTAGCTAGGGGGTTCCACAGAGGTTCCACCGGGCTCGGGTCTGAAGGGCAGGACAGGAAGCAGTGTGCCTCTTACCTGAAGGGCTTGGTGAAGTTTGTCAGCGAAGTACAGCGCTGTGTTTCTCATTATGGAAGCTAGGAGCAAAGGTGAAAGGGTGGAGAGCCACGTCTAGGGCCGCAGCTTCCCATCCCAGTAAAAATCCCTCATACATCCTGAGTAGATGCTTACCCAGGCTGAGCAGAGCCCGCTGAGCATCTCCGTGGAAACAGCTGCGGACAGCATCCTCCAATTCTTGCCCAGTGCATCTCCGGTACTGATCAAACACTTTGGTATGTGTAGGGAGTGGTTAGAAAGGTAAGTTGGTGTGTGGCGCTGTTACCACAGGAAGGGTGACCCCACCACTGGCTGTCACACTCATCAGTAGAGCAAGCTAGGTGGGGATAAGGAAGCTTGGGTACCTCGGATGAGGTGTTCAGGGCTCCGTTGTGTAAAGATCAGGACCCATTGACTTGCTGTACTGGATCCTCCGGTCTGCTGGAGTGCCTAGGGAAGAGAAGGAACCAGTGAAGAGTGGGGCAGGATCACAGTTTGGAGCCTGGAAAGCCATGGTTTTGATGTACCCAAAGAATCTACTGTGGTGAAGAAAATGGGACAGAGGGTGAAAAAGGAAAAAGGATAGTGCAGAGGCAGGAGGATCTCTGCATTGGAGGTCAGCCTGGTCTACATTAGGCGTTCTAGGAGAGACCCTGACTCAAAGAAAAATAAACAATAATAAAAAGAGGCAGGATTGCTGGGTGGTGGCGGCGGCGTATGCACTTGGGAGGCTGGAACTTAATCCTCTCTGAGTTGTGGAGGCCAGCGTGGTCTACAGAGCAAGTTCCAGGACAGGCTCCAAAGCTACAGAGAAACCCTGTCTCAAAAAACAAAACAAACAAAACAGAAGATTAAAAAAGGGGCTCAGCTCAGCTGCTCTCACAAGAATCTGATCCCCACGATGAGGGCTAAGGCTTGCTTGATCCAGTGCCCACAGGAGGAGAATCGCCAGCAGATGAGATTGGATTCTGTGAACTCGGGAGGCAGAGGCAAAGAAGACAGCAACAGGCTTGGAGCACAGATGGGTACACAGGATCTGGGCCCAGGGACGGGGCCCAGGAGGAGTCTGTACAAACACAAGTCCTTTTGCTCACCTGGACATCTTGTTCTTCCAAGTTGTAGTCAATGACCCCAGAGTAGCTCTCGCGGCCCCCCTAAGTGGAGACACTGTTCTCAGGAGGTTTCATGGAAGGGCAGTTTTGTCCAGACATCCTGCTCACAGGACAGCAGAGCTCCCTGCCCAGTCCCTTCCCTCGCAGGCCAAGCCTTACCTTGCTTAGGGCCAGAAGCAGGTCCTGCAAGATGCCATTGGTCTCAGTTCTGATATCTTCCTCAGCCTCCACCTGGAAATCTGGGGCAGAGGCAGGAGGCTTTGACTCCTGAATTTTCCCAGGGCAGGTAGCTTTAGGACTTGTCAGGTGCCTGGCCAACTGGGCCCTAACAGTTCTCCTCTTTTTTTTCCCCAAAGATTTCATGTTTTTATTTGTGTGTAAGGGGACGGTGGGGGGTGGGGTGGGGGGCTGCCCAGGAGGAGCCAGAGCTGCAGAGGGCTGCGAGCCGTCCATGCGGGTGCTGGGAACTGAGCTCAGGTCTCCTTATGCTCCCGGCTGCTGAACTGTCAACTCCAGCCCCCTAGCCACCCATCCATCTCCTCTGCAGAGGGCCTTGCTGACTGATAGTGCCCAGGATGGAAGCCATGGGCGCCATCGCAGCCACTCTGAAAACGTTCATAGGCTGTGAGTACTGGAAGTGGCTTCATCTCCAAACCCTCCCACTGGGAATCCCACCGATCACTAGGCAACCAGAAGTCACTAGAGACAGGGAAGCCCAGATTATGAAGCTGGTTAGGGCCTAGCCCTCACCGGTGTTTAGGAAGTGATGTGTAGGTAGAGTATGCGGCAGAGAGTGAGCGGGAAGACCAACAGTGAAGACTGTGGAAGAGTGTGACTAGCAAGTGCAGAAAACCTGGGCTCAATCTCTAGTACAAGAAGGATGGAAGGAAGGGAGGAAGGAAGAGAAAACAAAAAGTGTCAGCCATGGAGGCCCAAGCCTGCAGGCCCAGCACTTGGGGCTGAGGCATGATCATGAATTCAAAATATTTCATCCACAGGAAACTATGATGTCCCAGAACAGGGGAAAAATGGAAAGAAAGGGTGGAAAAGAAAGATGCAAACAGAACCAAGAGGGGATGCTGGAGGCCGGAGAGGGTTAAGGACACAGACCAGCACTGACTGAGAACCGAGGAGAAAGAGGGACTGTGAGCACGATGGGGCGAGATGAGGGTGGGGAAAGCCCGCAAATTAGTAGGTGAGGCAGGGTCTGATGGGTACGGCAGGACTTCGGGTCACCACCTGTCCCCCAGGCTGCAGCAAGGGGCTGGGAAGGTAACAAGGGGCCTCTGGGACTGTGGGCGCCTAATGTCACCACTGGGAAACTGGCCCTAGGGCTCCAGACTAAGTTAATCATTGTTTTTCTTTCTTTAATGACCACATAGGGCTCTTTCCCCTGGGGAGACTGAGGCACTGGAGTAGTGTGGGGTGCCAGGAGCAGAGACCTTAAGGGAATAGAATTTGATCAGCCAGGGTCCCAGATCTGTAAGCACTGTAGGGGTGGAGTGACTGTCGCAATACCTTCAGCTCTTGGGGACCCCTCTTCAGCTCTTGGGGACCCTGCACACATTCTTACCATGTTTATATACTGCCAGGCACTCCTGCAGTCGGGGTGCTGCTCTGGTGGCCAGAATTTCCAAGGCTACATCTCCAGCAGAACCTGAGGCCTACAAGAGATTGTGAGACCACTTGACCCTGGGACATATCATTAGCCCAGCGAGATGGCAGACAGGGTTGGAGAGCATGTGCCATCCCCTTCTCCATCTGGGTCACAAGAGGGTTGAGTGCTAGGCCCACTCTCTGGAGAGGTCAGTGTTAGTCAGCTGTCCTTCCTTTCTCAGTTGGTGTACTTGTTCCCCAGACAACCCAGCAACTGTCCCCCCGCCCCCCGTACCTTCAAGGCTGTCCTCAATTCCTGGGCATCAGACTGGGCTGCAGGCCGTAGGAGAGCCACCACAATTTTCTCCAGGTCGCCAGACAGTGCTGCCTGCAAGGACTTCAGGAGGTCCTGCATAAATGGGCCCCAGACAGACAGAGGCATGGGTCCAGGAAGGCCCCAGAATCATGGCAATCTGATTTTTATCAGAGGCCTGGCCACCAAGTCCCTGATTAGCCCCGAGGACGGGGCTGGCTACGGCTGGATCTGATCCCACATCCTCCAGGGGTCTCCACCCTGCCCATAGCTCCTGGAAAGGCAGTGGTCCCACCTGTTTGGTACGCTCTTGGAAGGCTCGAGAAATGAGCTGTCTTTGCTCTCTGCTCCGATTGGTCAGGACATCCACAATGGTGCTGTGGTCCACACCTGAACCAAGAGACAAAACCAGGCTGCAGCCAGGGAGTTCACAGTTGTGAGAGAATTAAGAGCAGGGAAGGGAAGACCAGGCCTATGTCGTCCCTGCTTCCATTTGTTCTCAGAGAAGATGCAAAGAAAATGCCAAAAACATTCAGAGGGGCTGGAGAGATGGCCCAGAGGTTATGAACATGGACTGTTGCTGGTAGATGGTGGCGCACACCTTTAATCCCACACTCGGGAGGCAGAGGCAGGCGGATCTCTCTGAGTTTGAGGCCAGCCTGGTCTACAGAGCTAGTTCCAGGGAGCTAGGGCTTTTACATAGAGAAGTCCTGTCTCAAAAAAAAAAATTAAATTAAATTAAAAAAAAGAGCATGTACTATTTTTTTCAGAGGGCCTGAGTTCAGGGCTCAGCAGATCAGGTGGCTCCTAATCACTTGTAACTCCAGCTACAGGGAATCCAGGATCTTCTGGCCTCCATGACACAGCATTCACATGAGTATGTTGGGGGATATTTCATCACATTGCGAACCCTGAGTTAACATTCTCATTAATTAAATAAAATTAACCTTGGGTCAGGGGGCTGAGTTAGCAACTAGTTGACAGAAAGTAATCATAGAGCATCAGAGGGCATCAGGGGATAGAGAGACACAGGAAGTAGTAGGGCAGGGTTTGAGTGGTAAGGCTTCTTTTGGGGGGAGGGTAGAGAGAAAGAACATGCTTTTGGGGATGCACCAACAAAGAGAGAAGGTGAGCTCAGCCTCTCTGAGCTAGTTGGTTTCCACCCCAGACTTTGAATCTCGAGTTTTATTTATAAATAAAATAATAGTGATTTAGTTAAAGCTGCCTTTAGAGGCAATGACAACAGAAGCCTGCCAGGCTTTGGTCCGAGTGGCCAAGCCACTGCCACTGAAGCAGGCTGGTAACTGTGGCGTGGGAACTGTTGGCTGAAACAGCAGGAGGTTAAGTGCAGCCACTGTGCCAGGATTAAAAACATGCGTACAGACACACACGAACACCCTTTTTTGGTTTGTTTGTTTTTTCGAGACAGAGTTTCTCTGTAGCTTTGGAGCCTGTCCTGGAACTCACTCTGTAGACCAGGCTGGTCTCGAACTCACAGAGATCTGCCTGCCTCTGCCTCTCGAGTGCTGGGATTAAAGGTGTGCGCTACCATCTGGCTTCTGACTCAAATCCTAATTCAGGCAAAAGTGGCCTAGTATGGTGGTTTAAAAAAGGAAGGGAAGAAAATAAAACCATAAATGAAATAAAAATTTTTAAAAGGGTTTCTGGGGTGAGGCCCATTATTTTGACTTAAAATCCCGGATCTCCTGTTATAAACTACGTGATCTTGGGCAAGCTTTTCAGTCTCTCTCTGAGTCCAGTTTTCTCGTGTGTGTGAGAATGGAAAGAATGAACCTGACCTCACACGGGGGAGGTGGCAGTGGGGTCTGACACACTGCCACAGAACTGGACACGCTAGAATCGATATCTTATCGCCAGTAACCCCAGAACATCACTAACTCCGCTTTCCTGGCTTCTTAAAAATAGTTTTTTAAAAGGCCAGGTGGTGGTGGCATATGCCTTTTAATCCCAGCACTTGGGACTGCAGAGGAAGGTAGTACTGTGAGTTTGAAGCCAGCCTGGTCTACAGGGAAAGTTCTGGGACAGCCAGGGTTACACAGAAAAACTTGTATCAAAAACAAAACAAAACAAAAAAGATTTTTTTAAAACGTTTATTATTTAATAAGTGTGTGGTGGCGGCACAGAACACCAACTGTTCTTCCAGGAGACCCTAGTTCAATTCCCAAGCACAGTTCCCTCATAGTGACTCCCAGACATCTGAAACTCTAGTTCCAGGGGCTCTGAACCCCTCCTCTGGCCTCTGTGGGCACCAGGCTTGCTTGTGCAGAGACCTACATACAGGCTAAACATATATATATATACATATAAAAATAAAATAATAAATAATAAATTTGTAAAAGAGAGAGAGAAATGCAGACCTGCAGTGGGGCTCTTGCCTGTAATCCCAGCACCTAGGAAACTGCTACAGGAGGATGACCGCAAGTTTGAAGTCATCCTGAGATAGGGGCGAGACCCTGTTATGTGTGGTATGCACACCCTCAATCCCAACACTTGGGAAGCAGAAGCAGATGGATAGGATTTGGAGGCCAGCCTAGTCTCCATAGCTAGCTGGTGTTACAAATGAGACCCTGTCTCAAAATAAAATAAAAAAAATCAGATCAACAGTGAAAGGCAGCCCTTAAACACCAAGGGCAGGAGCTTACCTTGGCCTGTAATGGCCTTCAGCAGCTTCTGAACATCCTTGTCCACACTGAAGCTCAAGAAAGTCCTGAGGGTGCCCAAAGTCCCCCAAGCTGCTGTCTGCAAGAGCATGAGAAGGTAGCATCATGAGGGGGGGGGGGAAGCCTGCCCTCCTCCTTCATCTTCTTCATTTATTGTGGGTGCATGCAGAGGACAATCTGAGGCCTCCTAAGGATGTTATCTGCTTCCATGGGGTCCTGGGGACCAAACTCAGGTCATCAAGGCGTTCACCCCACTGAGCTATCTCTACTTTCCTCTTCCCCAACATCTCCTGGCCCCTGAGAGGACACGTTATTTTTGTTTTGTTTTGTTTTTCGAGACAGGGTTTCTCTGTGGTTTTGGAGCCTGTCCTGGAACTAGCTCTGTAGACCAGGCTGGTCTTGAACTCACAGAGATCCGCCTGCCTCTGCCTCCCGAGTGCTGGGATTAAAGGCGTGCGCCACCATCGCCCGGCACTGAGAGGACACGTTAAACTGATTGTTGGGGCTGGATTTTGTGGCTCAGTGGTAGAGCACTGATTGGTCAAGTGTAAGGCAAGAGCAATCACAGCACTGCGGAATACACACATGCATTTCTGAAGTCCCAACAGCCCGTACCTTGTTGGCAAGGCCCAGCGAGCTGAGGATCTCCTGGGTCAGGGATGCTCCGATTGGTCCACTGCTCACAGACATGGTTCAGCTGGCTTCCCTGTGGAAGGAAATGGGAGTTAGCTGAGGGGATCGTCCCACTTGGGCCTGTGGATAGCCTCCCATCTGGGGCCGGGACTCTCCATGCCTTTCCTTTGTTGCAGAAATAAATGAATGAATATCAGAATATCGAACTTCTTTGTGAGCAGGTGTAAGGATGGAAGATCAGGGCAACAGGAAGTGCCTACCTTTCCCCTTCCTTTCTGAAGCCAGTACTGGCTGGGGAGGCTGCTGGAACCAGCGCTTACCAATGGTTTCCCACCCCCAAAGCCCCTGAACCCTCAGTCTGAGATGGTGCCCCCTTCTGAAGGTCAGGTCCCTCCCTTCCCTGGCCTGGATCCTCTGACTGCTGAGGTGAGGTGGCAATAATGATGGGCACAGGGGAGAGGGGGAGACAGCTCCTGGTCAGTTCTCCACAGGTTAGCTCCAACCCCTACCTGTAGAGCTGCTTCCTGCCTGCTGCCCTTCTCCCCAGGTGGGGTCTTTAGGTCAGCAGGTGGAATCTGGGCTGTTGTCTCTGTCCGTGTAGGAACATGGGTACCCGGGCATAGACTAGACACTCTAGGAGCACACCACTCCTCCCTCAACCAGTAAGTTCTCCCTCCCCCAGATAAGGGCTCAGTTCCAGGACTTACCCAGAAGGAGCTGGAAGTGAGGTAGGTGTTGTGGCCTGGTGGCTTGCCTGTGTGGGCACAAGCTCCCGGGTAGCCTGCTGGTGAAGAGGAGGAGTGAGGAGCCCAGACCGAGCAGCCAGTCAGATGACCTCTCTTGCAGACCAGCCCAGCTGTTGTCTCTGACTCGGCCCCTCCCAGACGTGGGAGAGGACCAGGCTGTACAGGGTCTACCAGCAAACACCTCCCTGCCTAGCATCTCTCCTCCCAGGAACTGGCCCTTAACCCACGCAAGTGAACTCCACTCAGCCTCTCAGGCTCAGCGGAGGACACAAGAGGCTTTGTGCCTTGCTTTCCCTACGGGGCCAGGTTGGGACCACAGAAACCTAGCCTCTTGAGTCTTGCTTCTAACCTGGCTCTACCCCTGGCTCCAGCTCCCTGGGGGTAAAGGGAGGGGAGGTTAAGGGGAATGTAGGTCAGGCAGGCTCCAGGCTGATTTCAAGGTTGATAGAGAAAAACCTGTTGGGACACATACCATCAGGGCACCCCAGCCTGCACCCCACAGGGGGTCCCAGCCCAGAATTTCCTGTGATTATGCCTTCGGAAAGCCAGCCAGCACGGGTGGGGAGGCAAGGGAATTGTTTATATCTGTGAGTAAGGAAGGGCGCACAGGTAATCAGATGAAGGCAGATGCAGAGTCAAGAGAGAAAAACGCAGAGGGTGTTTGTTCCCTGCAGACCGGCACCGTGGGAGAACCGCGCTCCCAAAGGCAGCCAGCAGATGGAGGAGGATCCCAGGGCCCGGATTTCAGTTTCCTCCTGTTGCCTTTTAGCTGCCAGTGTTCCCTGGCTGTTTAGGCTTCAGGGTGATGCAATCCCAAGGTGCTACCTGAGGTAGCACACAGCGGCAGGCGCTCAGTCCCTCGGAGCCTCGGGGACCCTAAGCGGTTAAACCTCGGGGCTGACCCCTTAAGGCTTGGGGAGCCGTCTTTTTCTTGCCTTCAGTCCTGGGGCAGGAATGGTCTTCCTTGATCTCCCAGAACCCCGGAAAGAGAGGGCCACAACATAGTCTCTGCTATTCCACACAGAGAACAAACTTGGGGACTCCGGTAACGAAGTTCCATTATGGCGGTCATATGCTGGCTTTGGTCCTCACTCAAGAGGAGAACATACTCCAATTTTAGAATCAGAGTCAATCTCTTTTTCGTTTGTTTGCTTTTTTTAAAGATTTATTTATTTATTATGTATAGTGGTCTGCCTGCGTGTATGACTGCACACCAGAAGAGGGCGCCAGATCTCATTCGTTATAGATGGTTGTGAGCCACTGTGTGGTTACTGGGAGTTGAACACAGGACCTCTTAACCTCTGAGCCATCTCTCCAGCCGGCACAGTCAATCTTTAAGCTTTATTTTATTTGCTTATTATTTATTTTGTTTTTTGAGAGAGGGTCTCTCTACATAGTCTGGGCTGTCCTGGAACGTGTGTCACCAGCCCAGCAGCCCAGCAATCTCCAATTTTTAATTAATTAATTAAGTAATTGGTTTTTTTTTTTTTTTTTTGAGACAGGGTTTCTCTGTGTAGCCCTGGTTGTCCTGGAACTCAACTTGTAGACTAAGCTGGTCTTAAATTCACAGAGCTCCACCTGCCTCTGCTTCCTGAGTGCTGGGATTAAAAGCATGGGGGGGGGGGTGTATAGCCCAGGCTGGCCTTGAGCTCACAATTCTCCTGCCTCAGCTTCAAGTGCTGAGATTTCCAGGTGTGAGCCATCACCCCCAGTCTGCCACTTTTTATAATCTGCGCTAGACACGTCATCATCTTTAAATGGGAAGGACGGGAGAAACTGTAGGGCAGAGGAGAAGTTGTTGTGTCTGAGAATAGGTTCCTTTGGGAGGAATAAATGAGGCAATCTGTGTAAGCATAAAATCGCCTTGCAGCCTGGCGGTGGTGGCGCACACCTTTAATCCCTGCACTCGGGAGGCAGAGGCAGGCGGATCTCTGTGAGTTCGAGGCCAGCCTGGTCTAGAAGAGCTAGTTCCAGGACAGGAACCAAAAAGCTACGGAGAAACCCTGTCTCGAAAATAAAAAAAAAAAAAATCACCTTGCAAATTAGGGGTGTTAGATTAAATAAATAAAAATACACCACTTCCACATAAGTTAGTTCAGATAAACAATGAATGATTTGCTGGTAAAAGTATGACCCAAATATTTAATGTGATTATTTCTACTGACAAGTTATTTATTGTTTATCTGAAATTCTACTAATTCTAATGGGGTAGCCTGTGCTCTGCCTAACACCCCCCCCCATAGGGCTTAATCCTTACACTGTGGCTAAGTTGAAAGCTGCAGGTCTAGACCCCCCAGAGACAGAATTCTGACTTCGCGGACGATGGTGATGATGCTGGACAGGTGCCTGACAGTCCCGGCTGTTTCCTTATTCTTGGAACGAAGCCTGGGGGCAGGCTGTAGAGCTGGCTCAGCAGATAAGAGCACTGGCTGCTCTTGAAGAGGATTAGGGTTCAATACCCAGCACCCACAGGGCAGTTTAGGATTGTCTGTTACCCCAGTTCTGGGGGACCCCATGCCCCCTTCTTGCCTCTTTGGGCTTTGCGAGTACATGGTGCACAGCTATATACGTAGTTGAAACACTCACACATATAAAATTAAAAAAAGTGTTTTTGTTTTTTTAAAGACAGGGTCTTTCTATGTAGTCCTGGCTTTCCTGGAACTTGCTATGTAGACCAGGCTGGCCTCAAACTCACAGAGATCCTCCTGTCTCTGCCTCCCACGTGCTGAGATTAAAGGTGTGCGCCACCGCCACTTGACTAAAATAACTCTTTAAAAACAAAACCAGGCTGAATAAGAAGCCGAGTCCCTGGTTCCAACCCCAGCACTGAAAAACACAAAACCTCTCTCATATACACAGAAGGAGAAACAAGAGACTGGAGAGAGCCGGCTTAGCAGTTAAGAAGACTTGCTTCTCTTGCAGAGGACCTGGGTTCGGTCCCTAGCACCCAGCGCCAGGAGATTCGATGCCTTCTTCTGGCCTCTCCAGGCACCAAGCACGCTTGGTGTGCTCACAGACATGCAGGTGGAACACTCATACACAAAAATAAATCTTTAAAAAGAGTTTTTATGTTATAGATTGCTGGGAGAATTAGATAAGATATATGGAGATGGAGGTGCAGGTCAGCGGCAGAGCCATTGCCTCTCAAGGATGAGGCCCAGGTTCGATCCTAGCAAATACATATAAAATCCTGAGAAAAGTGCTGGTCACGGAGCACTAAGTATGCATGTCAAATGCTAACATATGGCAACAAGAAGTGTTACAATCTTATTTATACTAGTAACAGTTGCTTCTTTCTGTAAAATCCAATCCTGGTAGGCTTAGGTTCTTTCCTGCCATTCCCCAGGAGTGCCACAAGAGGGCACCAGCAACCACTGAGAGTATTCTTAATCACCTGGGGTTACTTGCTGCCCCTTGCTCCACTTGAGCCTATCAATGGGCTCTTATAATCCACTTGTCAGAAGAACCGCTTCTTGAGAACACAGGGATCTGGGCGGACTTGGTGGCAGCTAAGGTAAGGAGCCCCAGCGAGATAACTACTCACGACAGGCAGATGGGGTGACCACACGGCCAGCCTTCTGACTCTTCAGAATTGATTCTGGCTACAAGTCATGGTGAAAGGGAGGGAGGGTGAGGGCGCCTGTTTGCCCTGGCCAACGTTTCCCAAGGGACTCCCGGCCAGAACCTGCGAGGTGAACTCTAAATTCGTAGATGTCACACAGAAACCCAGTCACACATGGCCGAAGCACGGCCTTCCTGCGAGTGTGCAGACTGTGTGTGCTGCATCCACAGCGGTTCTGCTGAAACTTGGGGGGATTTCGCCGCTCTCAGTCTGGCCTGGGACAGACTGACTGCCTTCAACGCCCATGCTCTAAATTTAGGAGTGCACACTTGGAGGACCGCTCAGTGAGGATTCACTCTGCACCTTCATTACAGACTTGAGGAGGGCAGGGACTTCCCACACCCAGGGACTTCCAACCAGAGTCCAGGTATCTCATTGCCTCTGCTTTTTCGACTATTGATGAGGAACAGGTGACTTGGGTGTCCCTTGTGGAACACTAGGGCACAGCAGTGCTGCTGCCCAGTGCCTCAGCTTCCGACTCGTGAGCTTTTCTTCACACTCCCTGCCCCCACTTTGCTTTTCTTTCTTTCTTCTTCTCTTTTAGGACCCCCCATATTTATTGTCTGTCTGTCTGTCTGTCTTGTGTGCACGTGTGGCCTGTGAGCACCACAGCATGCCTGTAGAAGTTAGATGACAACTGTAGGAGTTATTCCATCCTACCATGTGGCTCTTCGGACTTCCACTCAGGT